TTCCCTACAACAGACATCCTGTGAGGTAGGGGAAGCTAAGAGAGCTCTGAGAGAGCTGTGACTGACCCAAGGTCACCCAGCGAGCTTCATGTGGAGGACTGTGGAATCCAACTTGGTTCTCCAGATGAGAGTCCGCCACTCTTTAACCACTACGCCAAGCTAAGCAGGGTCATTGGGCGGCCACCAAGGAAGCTCTGCAGGGGAAGGCAATGACAGACCACCTCTGCTTCTTACTTGCCTTGAAAGCCCCTTGCTGGGGTCACCCTAAGTCAGTTGTGACTTGATGGCACTTTATATTCACATTGTTTCCTGGGTCCTGCTATAAAGGCTGTCCAGCAGCTCACTGGTCCAGAGGCTCAGTAACATCCCCATCCTGATCACTGAACTCTCCAAGCATCAGCTTTTCCTTTGTATTACATTCTACAAGTCAAGTAAAATTCTACAAGTAAAAAAATGGAATCTCTTCCAATAAACCAAACAAGGAGATGGCCATGAAACACATCCTGTCAGTGCAATCCTGAATGGAGTTATACCCTTCTTCTAAGTGGGTTGATGTAGGTCATGTAGAAGATGGGTCATGCAGTGGGTCATGTAGGATCTATTCTCTCTTGCTCCGGATTGCAAGACTAGATCTAATGGGTGGAAATTACAAGGGAGTCGTTACCGGCTAAATATCAGGAGAAACTTCCTAACTGTAAGAGTGGTTGAGCAGTGGAACAGACTGCCTCGGGAGGTGGTGGATGCTCCTTCGCTGGACGTTTTCAAGCGGAGGCTGGACGACCATCTTTTGGGTATGTTGTAGGGCTGTCTTTCAGCTATGCTCCTGCAGAGTGCAGGGGGTTGGACTAGATGACCTGCAATGTCCCTTCCAATTCTAACATTCTGTGATTTCACTGGACTGAAAAGGGTGTAGATCCGTTTAGGATTGCAATGAGCGTGTCTCATTTCACAGATTATTTTGAAAACTGAGTTTTGGTACCAGTTGACATGACATGACCTTAGTGCAGGCTTAGGGTGCATAATAGAAGAGCATATCAGACATGTCACAGATTTGGTGTTAGCATGAGCAGTAAAGGGAAAAGCCCAGTATTTTTTAAAAAACCTGTGTACATTCTAACTTTCCCTGAACTAAACCAGTGTTGACTGAGATTTCTGATACTTGTTGATTTTTTGTTTTTGTTTTTAAAAAACTCCTCCACCACCCATAGCTGTTGTCTTAGTTTTTGCTTTTGGAATTCTGATCTTCTGTTTGTGGTAGTCTCATGACCTGTAATGCAGAGCCATGTTTCAATGGACTTTCAGGATTGATGTCAGTGATGGCTGACATACGACCAAAGAATGATTTGGGACACCCTTTTTGTGGTAACTTGAGATCTGGAGACTGGATGATTGACTATGTCAGCAACCGGCTCATTTCCCGGGCTGCAGCCTGTGCTGAAGTAAGTTAAACAAACCTCCATGAGGAAATTTCCATGAGACAGATTTTTTTTAAAAAAGCTGTTACATGGTAATTTTGGACATAACATTCAGTGATTTATTTCAGTGACATATTCAAATTCATTTCTACCAGTTTTGCTTTTTTGAAATAACAGGTTGGCAAGTGGTTGAAAGCAATGTTTATCTACTTGAAGCGGGTTCCTCGTTATCTCATTCCATGTTACTTTGATGCCATATTAGTTGGTGCATATACAACGCTGCTTGATGTGGCTTGGAAGCAGATGTCAAGGTATGTTTTGAGTACAGTTGCAGAAAGGGTGATCCATATTTTAGGTGTCTTATGTACACATACAATATAATTGTAATGTGTTATATTTTTTCTAAAGAAGTACAGGAGATATTACCATAGAGTACGTGTAAGAGGCTACATAAAAGACTATATAAAAAGTTCCCTCCATCACTTTTCTGTAATTCAAACACCCTCAGGGGTGATTGATACTTGTATGACTGATACATGCATGTTCATCATGTGGTGTCTCATGACTTAATGACTCTCAGCTATCTTTGTAAGTTGTCTCCAAAAAATATTGATTAATTCCCACCAGAATGTTTTGGTTAAAGGCAAAAATAACTGCAGAACACCATGACATTGATAAGGAAACCTCAACAGGAAATGTAAATAAGACCAGAATTTACGTTCTGATATCCTGACAGAGAACCTGCTGAGCCCATCTAAGATTTCCTGGAGCAGAACCAAATTGTTCCAGCCATTTCTGAACCTGTATTTATGGCTGATCTATCAGTGAACCATAATACAAGGAAAACAGTGTTTCTGCTTTCTCCATGACATTTGGCTTTTTAAATGTTAACAAAAAAAAAATAAGGGAGGGAACATGTTAAAGCTGCAGATGATCCAGAACACATGTATCACTTATTTGAAATTTGAAGAGGAATACGTTCAGTCTTGAAATAAATAGTGCTGCTCTAATTACAGCTTTGTTCAGAATGGATCGACATTTGTTAAACATCTTTCCTTGGGTTCAGTCCAGATGTGTGGAATAGGAAAATATCCTTCTTTGCCACCTCTGTCCCCTGCCATTCAAGATGTTCCCTACAGGCTGAATGAAATTACAAAAGAAAGTGAACAGTGCTGTGTTTCTTTAGCAGCTGGTAAGAAAAAATACAGTCCCTTATCATTGATATAATTTTTTAATAAAATGAGTGTGACCATTTTGTTCCTGTTGTAGGCAGCAGACATGAGGCTGCTGATATTCCACAGAGCTATAGGCAATCTGTGGGCATGAAATATGAGTGACATACATGTGACTAAAACCTATGGGTGGGAAAGACAGCACCAGTGAATAAATAGAACCTGGGTTTATTCCTGGGTATGTGCCCTGTCATTTCCCATCTCCTACTGAGAAGCAGAGGATAGCAGTGGCAGTCCTGAATCTCTTGAAGATACAGACAGCCCTTGGAACTATACTCTGCAATAGAACACCTGTATTGTGTTGGTCTCTGCACAGTTGTGCTGCAGCTTTTGTGATGAGATTTCTGTTAGCAAACAAAAATGGAAGCTTTTGAACTTCAGCTTTTTGTTGGTTCTGGGAGGTTTTGTAAGCAGAATAACTAGTAGAACAATAGACTAAGCAGTTTTTCAAACTAGATTTTGAATATCAGCATGGTATAATTTTCTACTTGTGTGCTCGCTCTCTCTCTCTCTCTCTCTCTCTCTCTCTCTCTCTCTCTCTCTCTCTCTCTCTCTCTCAGTATGCCTGTCTATCTTGAATTATTTTCTTAAATTACATTTTACTTGATCTTTCTTCAGTTTCTGGCTTCAGGTTTCTTAAAATATTTACCCTGAACTGCTTGTCATTGGTTGTTTCTTTCTTTAGTCCTCTTCCAGTTTGCTTTCCTTAGGTCTTTCTTGGATGCTGTGTTCCATGCTAATGGAATTCTGTTGCTATAATGTCTAGTTTCTAAGCAACCATCTACTCTTCTCTGCAGAATGAATTTTCTGCTTTTAAAACATGCTTTCCTGAGTGCAAGGATCAAGAAATTCACATACATAACTCGAGTTCTGTGGAAATTCCTTGAACATATGTACAGTTAACAGTGTCTTCAACCCTTGCACGGATGATGATCTGTTACGGTGCTGAGATGGCAAAAGGATGTCTATGCAAAAAAAGCTCTAAAAATTTCAGCTATCCAAATTCCTAAATTTCTTTTGGTGCACCTAAAGTATAAATATTTTCCAAAGTTATTCAGAAAATCCATGTTATGTGAAACTTTTCCAGGACCCCAAGAGTTGTTACAGCCACAGATGTCTATTTTTTATTCCAGCAATGGGCTAGGGTCTCTGTAAAATACTACAAGTGATAATAGATCCCTTTAGACCCTCTTAGAGGGCTTTACAAACGGCACTTCGAATAGTAAGCACATCCATATTCAGTGCATTTCTGCGTATCTCCCCCCACCACACTAACGTTATCAGCTGAGCTCCATCCACTGTCTACCTTACACGTGTTTATAGCAGTGCACTGATACTTCAAGTGGCAGTAACTATGTGTTATATGGTTTCCCTGGTGGGATTTGCACAACTAGCCTACAAAAATATAGTACCAGTGATACAAAAGTATCTAGAAAGTGAGCATCCTTAGTTTCCAGTTTAGGGCACTAGCAGCAAACAAGTACAGGACATTACCATCTAGATGTTCACTTGATAGTATGCATAATAGGTCAGTGCATTGTTCCCAGCGTTTTGCCAGAAGGACTGTTTGGGATAGAATCACAGCAGTGTTAAGTATCAATTTCATTATGATATAATAACAGCAGCTTATGCCAAGGCAGAGTGAGGTTAGTATAGCAAACTGAGGGTCCATCGATTCGAGGACATTCTTCCTCTATTGTGCAAGGAGCTGCTACACAAACTGGACCCTTGCAGATTAGTGTATAGCCAAGTTTGGTTCAAAGGAAGTGTTAACAAACAAAAGTGCAATAAGAAACAAAGAACTAACCAAAAGGTCACTTTGACACCTATGTGTTGATGAGTCGTTTTATCTTACTGGTTTAATAATGGTGATTGAAAGCTGCCTCCAATAAAGATGTATATATTTAAACATGGAATGCATTTCAAATGTGGCTTGGATTAAATTACTGGTGAGGAGGGGGAAATGGATACGAGAATTTTAGGGGAGGTTGAAACCATTGCACTGCAAAGCTGTATGTGCATTATCTCTTACAGGTTTACCTCATTTTTCATCTGGCATTTTCCGCTGTTGGGGAAGGGACACGTTTATTGCCCTGAGAGGTCTGATGTTAGTTACTGGACGGTACTTGGAAGCTAGGTATGACCAAATACACATGCTGTTAGTGGCTGGGTGACGTGGCTCTTGACATGGATACAAACACATGGAAGAGAAAAATTTGGATAATTGGGAGGGGGTAATTGGGCTGATTTAAGTGGTTGGGGTCATATACAGATGTTCATGCCAGTACTTCCTCTCCCCTTAATATTTTAATGTTCAGCAAAAAAAGTGGAGGCAGGAGGAAAAGAGGGAGTATTTCCATTCCTGGCATTCTGGTTACGTTTCACATTTTACTTGCTATTTAGATCTTTTTCTTTTTGAACTGAATTGTTTGCTTATGAGAGTAAGCTCAGACCCACAATTGTATGTGTGCTTCTGTTTTTCTCTTCCTCCCTTGCTTTCAGGAACATAATTTTGGCATTTGCTGGTACCCTGAGACATGGCCTCATTCCCAACTTGCTTGGTCAGGGCACTCATGCAAGGTTCAATTGCCGTGACGCTGTGTGGTGGTGGCTTCAGTGTATTCAGGATTACTGCAAAGTTGTTCCAAACGGTACTGAGATTCTCAGGTGTCCTGTGTCCAGAATGTATCCTACAGATGATTCCGCTCCTCAGCCAGCGGGCAGAAACGTAATTATGATTTTGCCTTAGTTTGTCATTTTGTTTCCTTACTTGTTTGAGTCATGGAGAAATGACTCCTGAGTAGGAATCACCCCGTGCTTTGCTGGGAGGGCATGATGATATGTATTGGTTGGCCTACGTAGGGTAATGGTTGAATATCTTGAAAGTGGGTTGGATTCACTGTCACGTAAATAGGTCTGGGCTTGGCTTGTACATGAATGGGAGACCACTTAGGTTTCCAGTGCACTGCATATTTAGCTTCCTGGAGAAAGGATGGGAAACACAACTAATAAATATGCTTGCCAACATTAAAATGCAATACCTCTCCTTCCCCTGCAAAAAAACCTCCCAAACCTGTTCTTATTTCAGTATTTTGTTCTCTGAGTAATAAATATTTTTATTGTTGATATGTTTAATATCTGTTTAAGGAGAATAAAGTGTGACTATTGCCATCAGAATATTATTAGCGTGTCAATTTGTTATAATTGGCAGTACACCAAAATTCAAGAAATTTTGGACTGTTTTATAGGGGGATGCGTAATAATTTTTAAGGCAACTCGATGCTTACTATAATAATCACCCACTTTTGGCAATTTAAACTTTTAATGAGACTCGTTACTAAGTATGTATGTTTGTAATCATACCTCCCTTTATTTTCTATTTGTTATATCTGAATCCATCAAAACTCAGGATCAGCCTCTATATGATGTGATACAGGAAGCTATGCAGAGACACATGCAAGGCATACAGTTCCGAGAGAGGAATGCTGGCCCACAAATAGATAGAAACATGAGAGATGAAGGTACATTATCTTTTAGAGGACTTTTAAAAAACAAGTTCTGATGCAGCAAGAGTGTGTGTGTGTGTGTGTGTGTGTGTGTGTGTGTGTTCAGCACTACCAGCAGAAATAAATTTTGTTTGTTTATTTGAAAGATTTATATACTGTCTCTTTTATGTTCAACCAGTCATTTACAGTTTTTTAAATCTAACATTCACATACAAAAACTAACTTACCTTGATTCTCCAAAAGCAGTCCCACAGCAGCACATTTTAAAAACGCAGTCTGAGTGCAATCCTGAGCAGGTATACTCAGAATCCTAGTCAGGGGGCTTACTTCCAGGAAAGTGTTCTTGGAATTACACTGAACGAATCTCCACACATACAAGCCCTGCAGAAAAGACTCACCTTAAACAAGTCCCTGGGAAGGCAACAGGGACTGAGAAAACCATGCAAAAAACCATCCAGTAACCAAACAGGCTCTTTCCAAGAAGGTACAACTCTGTCAAGCAGAGGGAACAGATAAAAATAAATGCTCTAGAGACCTAAACCCACTCACTTAGAAAAGGAGAGCTATTCTTCCCAGTTTAAACATCTTGGAGACTTTATGCCCTTTAAAGCTTCATGTACTTTCAATCATAGCTGTTGTGGTAAGAATAGTTTGTGCCCAACAGGAGATCCTAGCTAATTCTACTAAAGTATACCTTGGATGCTTTTTAAAGGTTATTTGTTGGATCTATCCATCCCTCTTTCCTTTCTGTAAAATCGGACTTTCTTGCTTGGTAGGTTTTAATGTGACTGCAGGTATAGATGTGGAGACTGGCTTTGTCTATGGAGGGAACCGTTTCAATTGTGGCACATGGATGGATAAGATGGGGGAGAGCGATAAAGCTCGCAATAAAGGAATTCCAGCAACTCCAAGGTACAGTGTCACACTTATAATTCATTATTCTTGACATCTTAAATTTGTAGTGGGACCATGGAAACAGAGTATACATCTATGTTCTGTTTAGTAAGTTTTCAGAACAATATTTGCATTAGGCTGCATTTTCCTTAGTAAGAAACTGTGCATATTTTCCAAACTGTATTTGTAGGTCAGTGGAAAACCTTGGCAGCCATAATTGGAACAATTGCTCCAGTGGGGAGGGCGGGGTACAAATTTGATAAATAAATAGACATGCAGTGTGGCAATTTTTGTCAAGTATGTTATATGTATAGTTTAATGACTCATAAACATACAGATTCTGTAGGTGCTTGTGCAATCTGATGTGGAAATATCTGAATAGGGTTTGCTCTTCTACATGAAGTCCTCTAGATGTTAGACAAGTATATTTTTATGGCCAGTTACTGAACTGTGCTTCTTATCCTTAAGTTCTCTTAGTGCTGTGGTTTTCTGACCTTGTGAACGTCTTCAACTAATGATAAAAGCAGAATTGTGAGCCCCAAGACTGTATATATCTGCAATTGCAGATAAGAAATCCCATATGAGGTGGTATTTGAGTTAAAGAGCCTACCTGATTCCCACCCACCCCTTTTTTGTATGCGAATACCAGATTTGTACTCGAATTCCTACATGTGGGTGTGTGATCCTGAGACCTCACTAGGACATTCAGCCTTGGCTTCCCCTAATTTCAGCAACATTTGTGGTTGGATCCAGCAAAAAGTTTCTGCTGATGGAAAAGTTGGGCAATGTTTGCCAGTTCACCGTCATCTGAAGCAGACCTCTGACCACCCCCCCCACACACACATACACAGACATGCTGTGTCCCCCAGAGCCAAATTTCAGAGGGCATTTTGGTCTGCACCGTTGGGGTGGGACAAGAAAAGTTTGCTCTGCTGACAGAAATCCCTTCCCTCGCTGGGAGATTTTTAATGGGATGCAAGCCTTTGTGTGTTAAGACTACATTAATCCAGGTCTGTTTATATCAGGCCTGCATAACATATGCAGCTCCCAGCCTATCCTATTTGTGGCCCACTGAGGGAATTCCAAATACTCATTTGTCTGTAGTCCCTTTCTTATCTCATTGGGAAATATCTGAGGTCTGCCTAAGCACTTTGGGGGGGGGGGCAATTCCTGCATCACTAGATCTGTACTACGGCTTTTCCTCTCCATGAATTCAGAAGCACATAATTGTATCTGCAAGCCTTCACTAGTATGAATTATTGAGGATTAAAGCCTTCTGTACTATTGCATTGAAGGGATAGGCTGGGGGGGGGGGCAAGAGTAAAAATAGGAAAACAAAGAGAAACTGAGCAATGGGAGATGGAGAATGAGATGGCAGAGGTGGTGAAGAGAAAAAAATAAGCTAACTTGGAATAGAGTGTGACCTGTAATATGAAGAAAGAAGGGGATAATTGAAATGGGAGGATGAAGAAATGGGAGAAAACTGGTGGTGACTGGTGAGATTATAGACTTGGTGGGAGAAGGGAATCTGAGGGAGGACTGTCTGAGAGGTGGGGTTACAGACTTCATTAGTGCAGAGAAAGAAAGAAATTCTGAAGGGTGCAGAACTAAAAAATGAGTTTAACAAAGAATGGGTGCTAAAGCACTGAGTTAAAATCACGTAGAATGACCGAGTGTGCATGTTGTTGACTGTAACAATAAATCTGACTGAGGTAAAATCATAATAAAATTTTTGCCTCTGTTAAACTGGCAGTGAAGTCCTCCTGAATTAGCAAAAATATTTTTAAAAGCCTCTATCTGATTAAAAACTCTGAATATGTTGATGGGATGTATCTAGCTACTGGAACTCTGCTGAAAATCCATCCTTTTTTCTTAGAGATGGCTCTGCTGTGGAAATTGTTGGCCTGTGCAAATCAACAGTTCGCTGGCTGCATGAACTGTCAAAGAAAAATATATTTCCTTATTCTGGAGTTACTGTGAAAAGGCATGGTAAGATTGCAAAAGTTACTGTGGAGTTACTGTGAAAAGGCATGGTATTGGACTCTGCAACTACAGTAGCAAAACAAAGGGACTAACAAACGAGATTCTCTATAGAACCCCAAACATAACTTTCTGAATGTTATACAATATTATATGGCAGTGAAATGCAGACTTCCTAAAACAGTGCAGTCAAATAGCATGGTATATCCAATAAATAATGCAAAAGGACTGAGGTCACAGGAATTAGAAACAATGCAAAAAAATATCAGACATGATGTGTCATAAACAATGCAATAAAGAATGGAATTATGAAAGTAGAAAATAATGCAGTTACAGCAAGATAATGCAGGTCAAGATTTCCTCTGTAGTACTTCAGAATGTTCAAAATTTTCTTCCTGGTGCAAATGTTTTTTTCTTACAAGGATTGTAAAAACTGTTCTGTTCAGTGCTGTTTGGCTTTTCACTTACTTCAGTTCCTGTCTGTGTTAAGACCCTGTCTCTCAAATGCATTTTTCTCTTACTGTAATTTGAGTGCTTGACATGAGCTTAAATTTCATTAATATGCTGTTGACTTACAAATGTATATTTAGAAGTAGCCATAATTTCTGTTCCGCCATCTGTTAGCTTGTTCGATTTTTCAGATGAACTGAAATAGTTAAAAAACTTTAGTACCTGGCTGCCTAAAAGTTTTTGCAATGGTATGAGGGCAGTGATAGAGGACAAATGACATAGAAGTTAGAGGGCAAAATGCACTATAGGGACTTGGTTTCAGTTTTCCTCTGTGCCATGAAACTCACTGGATGACTCCAGGCCATTAGATTTCTTTCAGTCCTATTACACCTTACAGTGCTGTTAGGATCAAATTCCATTTAAGCTCATTGTCCTGAGATCTTGAAGGGTGGGATAGTAATTAATAAAGTTATCCTGATCAAAAATTTTGTAGCATCCTGTAGTGTTCAGTCTTGTCTTTGACTTTAATTATAATTTGCTTCTGTTCTACTTATTCATTCTTAAATCTGGAGACAGTGCACTTATCCTTCATTTTCTGATAGGAAGGCAAGGGTTCCTAAGGATATTTTGTTGTTGTTGTTGTTGTTGTTGTTGTTGTTGTTGTTGTTGTTGAACTGCTGTAGCTCTATGTGCAGGCTTCTGGTTTAATTCAGATGTCTTTCCATACACATACTTTGTGCTTAAATCAAAAATGACTTATACAAAAAAATCTTTGTTTACAACACAGAGAAATAGTGGCGATTTAACGCAAAATGTAGAGATAAGTAAAGGGACCAGACAGGGTTGACCTTTGTCACTATTGCTATTTATTTTTGTACTTGAAGTTTTACTAGATACAATCAGAGGTGACAGTCAAATTAGGGGATTGGAAACAAAAGCGTTTGCTAGGGTTGCCAACTCGAAAATTCCTACCGGCGGGGGAGAGTCCTGTAGGTCCGGGAGCCACGCCATTTGAGGGGGAAACAAAGAGTTTTCCCCTCAAATGGCGCGGCCCCGCCCCAGCGTCTGACGTCACTTCCTGGTGACGCGCTCGCGGGGTGGGGTTTCCCCCGGGCCCCGATTCTGCGGGAGCGGAAATCGGGGCTCGAAACCGGGGGGAATTCCGCCCCCCGGGGGGGTTTGGTAACCCTAGCGTTTGCTGACAATCTGGTGTTTACTTTGGAAAACCCAATAAACTCTGTAAACATGCCGAAGTCGACATTACAAGAATTTGGGGATGTGGCGGGGTTTAAAATAAACTATAAAAAACCGAAAATGTTAGTTAAAAACATGACTAAGATTCAAGCAGAACACCTATAAGAGGTAACCGGGTTTGAGCTACAGAAGAAGGTTAAATATCTTGGAATTAATCTAACAAATAAAACGAGCTCTCTAAGGGATAACAACTATACTGAAATACTAAAGGAGACAAAGGAAAAACTAGATAAATGGAAAGATCTTCAATTGGCTTTTTTGGGAAGAATTGCCACAGTTAAGATGAGTATACTTCCCAAATTGATATTCTTATTCCAGACAATACCAGTGATACAGAACCAAAGCTATTTTAGAGAACTAGATAAAATTATGACACGGTTTATCTGGCTTGGGGGAAAACCAAGAATTAATCTTAAAATACTTCCAAGATGCCAGGATTAGAGGAGGCCTCGCCCTTCCACATTGAACTTTATACTATAGAGCTGATGCTTTGACCTGGATTAAGGACTGGATAACATTAAAAAATGCCAGAACTTTGAGATTAGAAGGCCACGACCTACACTTAGGCTGGCACGCATACACTTGGTACGGGAAGTCTGATATCTTCAAGTATTTTAAACAGCACTGGGTAAGGGCTTCCTTACTGAAAGTTTGGGAAGTAATTAAAAAACATTTGTATGCTAAAACTCCAAGATGGGTAGCCCCTTTAGAAGCCCTTACAAATCCAAACACCAACCGAGAAGAAACCGAGATATCAAGAACTGCTAGATAATAGAACTTAAAGAAATACAATTGCATGATTGGTGGCAAAAGACACAAGTATAATCTAGATACCATAAGGATAAAGCAATTTGTTTTTACTCAAACTTTTTAGAAATAGACAAGATACTGATGGGCTCAGACCAAAAACTTATTTAAAAAATTCTACAATTTGCTCCTAGAAGACAAAACACAAGAGGAAAGGGTCAAAAGGGTCATGATAAAATGGGCACAAAACATGGGCCATAATATTGACCTGGATAAGTGGGACCAGATCTGGAAGAGGAACCTAAAATCACAAGATCAATTTCCTACAAGGAAAATATTTATAAAATGTTCCACAGATGGCACATCACGCCAGACATTTTATCAAAAATAGATCCAAGGTGCCCTAATGTCTGTTGGAAATGCCTGAGTAAAGTAGGGTCCTTTTTTCACATGTGGTGGCAATGTGAAAAAGCCAAGAAGTTTTGAGCTTGGGTACATGAAGTAATACAAAAAACACTATTTATTTATTTATTTTTATTTTATTTATTTTTTATATTTATATCCCGCCCTCCCCGATGGGCACTAAAAACTTCCAGTCCTTTTGTACCTGAAATATTTCTATTGTGTATAATACCTGAACAATATAGGGAAAATGACAGATATTTTATACTGCGTGTGATAACCTCAGCTAGAATAATATTTACCAGATATTGGAAAACTAAAGAAATACTATCTAGAGATGAAATTATTAATAAAATATTGGATATAGCAGAGATCGATAAACTGTCCTTATGCTTAAAAAACCAAGCCGAGGACGAGTTTGAGAAGACATGGTCGAGATTTTATGTTTGGGTCGTAAATTATGATAAGTCACAATCTAGCGAATTTGAGACATTATGTTGTTAAAAGGTTATACCCTAAAATATGTAATGACAACTAAAATGGTCAAAAATAATCAACGAACTCTATTAATTAAGTTGCAAATTGTTAAGCAATGGAAACTTTTCTGATATTTCCCCCCTCCTGAATTTGTTTGTTTGTTCTAGAGAAAAATAAAGAAATAATGATTATAAAGTGAGAAATAGTGGTGTATACGATTGCTGCTGTCAGGATATTGTACACAAAGTATTGGAAGGGAGAAAAAAATCAGCTGCATGATGCCCATAGGTGCCCTGGCACCTGCAGTCACTTCCCAAGGTGCCCACCCTGTGCTTCCAGAAAGTAGGTGGAGCCATTCTGAAGACTGCCTGCTTAGAAATTACGGGGGCTTTTGATTTAGATCCCCACCACTGCTCAATGGAGAAGGATCCAAGATCCTGTAACCCGAACCCACAGATCAACTGTAAGGTGGTAGGGACTACAGAGCACCAGAGTGGTGGAGCATGCATCTTCCCCCCCCCCCCAATGATTGCTCATCGTCTTCTGCTTGCATGTTATTCTCTCCCTTGGGCATCTTCTTTCAGTGTTTATGCTCCCAATGCCTTTCTCCTTGCTTATTTTCATGTTTGTCTCCACCTCCTGTTCCAGCCATTTTGTAGTGTCATCTACCTCCTTGCCTCAAAATTCTGAAGGGTGCCTGCAGGCTCAAAAAGGTTGGAAACCCCTGAGCTGAGGAGGGTTTACATAAATTATGAAACTAGGCAGTCAGGTTTAAAATTTGTCTGAGTAAAAGAAAGAAGAAGATGGACGGCATTTATTACTAAAACTAGCGTGTGTCTTCTTTTGTAAGAGAACACTTGCTGTTGATTTGAATAGAAATGTGTTTTGTACATTATATCACAGTTACAAGTGTTCTTGTATTTTAATGAACAAGAAAATTAACAGAAGCATAAAATAGCACTCTCACTTCCCTCCAGCTTCCAACTGTAACCGGTAAGGCCACTGGAGGGAGGGAGGAAGCAGCCAGGTACCTCTCCACTGTGGCTGAATCTAGTTCAGCTGAAAATCGCCCTCCCCAAGGACTGTTATTTGCATTTGGTTTTGATCCCTGTGAACTTCTTTGGGAGCCAATTCTGGCCGGAAAATGGAACAGAAATATTATGAACTTCATGCATCAAGCTTATTCAGCGTATTAACACACCAAGCAGGGCAAAATTACTGACAGATGCAGATATCCGAAGTAATTATAAAGCATTTCATAGAATCAAAAGTCCGTTTCTCCCTGTAGCTAAATAGATTCCTAGTCACATGTTTTTTTCTTGGGACCCCAGAAGAAGTGATAAAGCCATGACAGGAACTCAAACCCTTGAATAGTTGGGGGAATTTTTAAAAGAGAAATAGATTCACTTATATCCCTCTTCTTGGCCACTCTTGGAGTGCATCAGATATGATGGTGGGATTCGATATGGAACAGAGCCAATTGCAAGCATGCATTTTCTTTGTCATCTAGGTAAATGGACTAATCAATGTGAAAATGAAACACAGAGGATAAGCAGGAAGGAAAGAGCTTGTCAGAGTAGCTCCAGTACCTTCATATTTCTATACCTTTTTCTTCCCTTGGTTTCAGACCATATTCAGTAACTGTCTTCTTTATTATGCTGTTTTCCAGGGATGGAGGAGACCATTACATATGATCAATGGAACAGGAAAATCCAAGCACACTTTGAAAAGCTGTTCTTTGTCTCTGAGAACCCAGCAGATCGTAATGAGAAGCATCCCACTCTGGTTCATAAACGGGGCATTTATAAAGACAGCTGTGGAGCATCAAGTCCTTGGTGTGACTATCAACTAAGGCCTAACTTCCCCATAGCAATGGTGGTGGTAAGTGTTGTATAAGTATGCTGTTCAGTTTTTCTATGCCCCTTTGCTTGTTGAAATAAGTTTTTTTATTTATTTTAAAACACTTCTATACTGCCTTTCAACCCAACTCAGGGTATCCAAGGCAATGAACACTTCAAACATTAAAACAGTGTTTTAAAATGCAATATATATTCACTCAGGTGTTCATCTTCCAACATTATACATGCCATCAAATGTCAGCAATGCCCTTCCACTCTCTACTTCAGACAAACAAGTCAGTCCCTATGCAAAAGAATCAGTGAACATAAATCCAATATTAAAAGCCACAACACTCAAAAACCAGTGGGATAACATTTTAATCTTCCAGGTGATTCCATTGCTGACCTAAGAGTGGCAGTCCTCAAACAATGAAATTTCAAGGGGAAATTACAACTCAAGATTGCTGAACTTGAGCTAATTCACAAATTCAGAAAAATGGACGGACGCACACCCCAGGCTGAATACCGATATAGGATTCTTATCTCACTAGAGATGCTAATTTTCTGCCCCCGAGCATTTTCCCTCTGCTCTAATCAAGCTGATTACAAGATGCACTGTACCTTTGCATCCTTTACAAGCATTCTTTACAACACATCTCCCACTTTCTGATTAGGATAAAAGAGATCTCAATTTCTACTCATGTCTGAAAGGGAGCTGTGACTCTCAAAGACTTATACCCTGGAACTGTTCTTGGTCTGTAAGATGCGACTGGACTGGAATCTAATAATTAAATAAGACATATAAATGCACAGGCACACAAACAAGGAGGATGGCTAATGAGAGTTAGGGAGGGAATGCCAAACAAAACCACATCTTCATCCTCTGGCGGAAGACACCTATAGAGAGAGACAGGCAAATCTCCCTTGGGATGGGGTTCTGGGGCCACAACCAAGAGGGCGCTTTGTCAGATGGCCACCCTTCTAGCCTCAGGTGGCAGAGGGGCACCTGAAGCAGGTCTTTGGAGATGACCAGAGTGAACAGGTAGATTCATATGTGAGCAGGCAAGCTTGATAACCTTTAAATGGGTATGGTATGATTTGGTGGTGGTGAGCAGCTATTTCAAGCAGCTTCTGAGAGAGCTCGCCAAAACTCTTAACCTTATTGTAAACATTTAAAGATCCTGAAGAATAAACATAAGGTTAACTTAGTATTTTCTCTTTTGAGAGCCTGATCTACAGCTTTGCTGTGCACTGCTGTGTGACTCGGCACGACACTATCACTTTCCCTTTTAAGTCCTAGCAGACCTCAGGATTATCTGAGGTGCAGATGACAAAGTCTACCTGCTACACAACAATCAGCTGTGGTGCTGTGAGTAACCACCCGTGAGGGATCACAGGCTTTCACTGTAAGATGTTGTGGCTGCTTTCTTCAGCTACAACAGTGATGATGGTACTTTCACAGCAACGTAGCTGTTTTATCTTTTTGATTCCAAGTATGCCTGGTATTTGCCAGGGCTCAGCTGCCAGCACTGGCCACAGTGGTGATGAGGAAAAGGGTTCTACCAGCACAGCAGGGAAGTTTTTTAAAAATATTGATTTTAGGTTAAAGGATGGAAATATTTGGAGAGAAAAGGATTTAAAATGTGAGCTAAAGGAAGAATACAGCTATTCAATGACCTGTTCTGATCTTTGTTTCCTTTTTGAATGAATTGTTTTCTTCCTTTTCACGCCTCTTCTCTTTTTCTTTTCTTTTTTTTCTAGGCACCAGAAATGTTTTCTCCTGAAAAAGCTTGGAAAGCACTTGAAATCGTAGAGCAAAAGTTACTAGGTTCGCTTGGCATGAAAACATTGGACCCAGAGTAAGTGTGATAAAAAGTCAGCTGAAGAACTAAACGTCCATAAACACCCCCACTCCATCTGTAAATTGGCCCTGTGGAGCTAGGTTCTGTATACAGTAGTAAGGAATGGGGTCCACAAGTCCAAAGACTCTCCTGCAGAGGCCTTAGTGGGTGCGTTCTAAACCTTACCGGGGGGGGGGGAGTGGTAATTCATTAATCACAGCACCTAACTGAAGTATTTCACATGTTGTGAATCAACATGAAAATACCTTTTAAATCCGAAGTTTCTAGGGCTGCCAAGTGGGGGCGGGGGGCAGGTAAACCCCTGCTTCGGAGGCCCGATTTCCGCCGCCATGGAATCTGGCCCCGGGGGGAACTCCAACCCCCGAAGCGCAGCATGAGGTGATGCAACCACGTCGGTCACGTTGGGGGCATGGCCCCAATCGTCAGAGGAAAAACTCTATGGTTTTCTTTCCGACGATCGGGGCCACGCCCTCAACATGATCGACGCCGCGCGTCACTTCCGGTGACGTGCTGGCGACGTGCACGCGCACATCGACAAAGAGCTCCTGGAGACCGGCGAGGCTTCCCCGCCGGTAAGAGAAAACGACTTGGCAACCCTAGAAGTTTCTCTAAACTTTCGGTTATCTTTCACCAAAAAACACATCGTGAGAGATTTATAAACACTTGACATTTTGTTAGAGTAATATGAAATTATGTAGAAGAGACAAAACTCTTAAAATTATATTGTGCCCTTGCTTGCATCTCCATCTCTGTGAATTCTTCAAATTCAAATACAGTTTGGCCTTGCAGAGTCAGTAGCAAAGTATTCTGGCATCAACCAAAGAGGGTCTTGTGTCAGCAGAAAGGTCCTAGTACTAGAAGAGATGGCAATTAAATGGAAAGATCCAATCCCTATGTTTTAATGTTCCTTTCTCTGAAGATATTTACTGCTTTCTTTCTTTGTTCATTACAGCGATATGGTTTACTGTGGTGTGTATGACAATGCCTTAGACAACGACAACTACAATGTGGCTAGAGGATTTAATTACCATCAAGGGCCTGTAAGATTTGTGTTTTTAACATTATTTTCCTCAGTAGACTTCAGTGTTCCTTACCTTAAAGATGTTACTATAATGCCACTTCTGTTGTTGTGTTCTTTTTCAGGAGTGGCTTTGGCCCATTGGGTATTTTCTTCGTGCCAAATTGTACTTTGCCAAGTTAATTGGTCCAGAGATCTATGCAAAGACTGTGTTTTTGGTTAAGAATGTGCTTTCTCGGCATTATGTTCATCTTGAGAGGTGAGTTGAATTTTCTTCGTACAATTTGGAAATATTATGGCTTGATGATATTCATTTGATTCCAAGCACTAAAGAGTTCTCCCAGCTTAAGAATAAAAAAGGGAGAAATTGATAGAGAATTAAGGTATATGCAATAGTTACAAATATGGTAATAGACATATTAACTGGGATTAAAACATAGCTACCATTCTATAACAGACCTGGTACGAGACTAACAAAAAACAGTGTTCAGCTTTAATTTACTGACCAGGATGAAGCCAGAGTCCATCAAAAGTTATTTCAGTTGTTGTGATACTTTGATGTCTCAACTTTAAACTCTTACTTGGAAGTCGCTCTCAGCCTGGTCCCTGCAGAAACCAGAAACCCCATGTTAATCAGGCATACTGGAGCCCAAAAAGCCTTCTGTGCCCTGGAGATGTGGGAAGATGATGCAGAAGTGATGCAAAAATACGCACGTCCACCAAGCAGCTGGTATACTGAACGCACTTGTCAGCCTTCCTGCCCCTTATAAAAGGCTTCTCCTGGATAGAGTTGAGAAGGCAAATAATAACTATTATTATTATTATTATTATTACTGCTACTACTATATTATAGTCCATCTTTTTCACTGAGACTGAAGGTAGATTACGCAGTGCAAATCAATGTGATCCATAGGATGAAATGCCTGATAAGAATATAATAGGGCTAGGATTACAGTAATCTGAAACAAAACATAAACTATTAGACATGTAATGCTATTTTCTGAATTAACATACAAGTTTAACAACAAAGCAGTGAGAAGAGGATAATACATTCTATACATACTAGTATAGTTTGCACTCCTGTTGCTTTCATTATAATACCTCTGTAAAAATGTCCTCCTGAACAATTCTGTTTTACATAGTTTGCATAGTTTCCTGGTGTCTCATTTCCTTTTACCTGAAAGGTAGCTATTGTTGTGAGAGATCACATACAGAATAACATTACTCTAGTTTTTAACCAATTATTTTTCATACCTTGCTTTCTGTTTGCTAACATAGGTTAGTCCTATTTTGTTTTAAATCCAGTTACAGGGTTCCATCCAATAGACAAATACACTGATGAAAGGGAGAGACAATTTTCACCTGTTCTTCCCTCCCACGGCAAACCTTACTGTCCCCTCATGCTGTTCCTAGGGTTCACTGTTCCCCAGATGCAACAAAAGGGGGGGGGGGGGGCTCTTTGGGCTGCATCAAGAGAGGAGGCAGGAAGATCCCCCTTCACTGATAAAAGTCCTTCTGTCAGCAAAGGTTTTGCACCGGATCCAATCCATATTATTGTACATGATTTTTTAAAATCAAAGTCCTGTCAATCCAAATAATTTTTGAACACCTTCATGCGACTCAGAACTTATGTGAGATTTGTCCTCGTCTTAATTTGACATTAAATTAAAATATTAAATCATTCTGAAAGGGATTTATTACTTTATTTTATCTTGATTCTGCAGATCTTCTTGGAAGGGGCTTCCAGAACTGACTAATGAAAACGGGCAGTATTGCTCCTTCAGCTGTGAATCTCAGGCCTGGTCAATCGCTGCCATCCTTGAGGTTCTCTATGACTTGTAACGGTGGTAATCTGCCTCAATGAGTCATCTTGCTTTGTTCTCAATTTAAGTACCCTTGCTTGTCCTGTTGTAGAGTCCTGCTTTTCCACTGTTACATTGTGAACTTCCCTGGTTTTAGAAAAAATGGTTTATATCTGTTCTGACACACTTGTTTGTGGGTGCTCATTCTTTGAGAATTGCACTAGAATTATATATATTTTAAACTACTAATGAGGACTAGAAGCTGATAAACTAAAAGCACCTTCACTGAGCATGTAGTCAAATATATCAAGAATAAATATGTGGGTTAACTGTATACTGGAGCAGGCTTCTGATGCAACAGGATTTCCTTTTCAAGACCCTAAATTTTTAGTATTTCAAACAAAGGTAACAGTATAACTGAATTAGTGATTGATCATCTGACACAGTGCATTCATGGCTATAAAACTAAATGAAACTTACAGAAAAGGTTGAATTGGTTTGCTCATGTTATCTGAAGTCAGTGATGGGAACTAGTCATTCTGTGATAATTAACAGTAAAAGTAGTAGCACAAGCTAGTCACAATACAATGGCCATTTTAAATCTCTCGCTGTGGTGGCTGCCTTACTTGGTAGGATGTTGCATGGAACCAAATATCCTATCCTTGCCCTTTGGCAATTTGGGCAATACCAGATGAACTCCTCACTCTTATGAAGGCAGCTGCCAAGAAGAACAATTCACAGCTGCTTCCTGACAAGCAGTTGTTCATGTAACAACCTTTAGTGACCTACCTGCAAGAAAGGAATTTTTCTGTTGCGTAAGGTTCTAAGAGATTCCTTTATCTTGATTCAATCCAACTTGTTCTAAGTGCTGTGATTACGGTTTAGTTGAAAGTATCTGAAACTCAGTAACTTGTGCCATTGTCTCAGTGCAATTAATCAGCAAAAGCCAAATTAGGTAGCAGTGTTTTTTGGACTGCACATGGAAAATAGTAAGTTGAAAACTAGGGTCATTTTATATAAACAAACTGCAATTTGTCATGCTCATCTTCGAGTCTTACCTTGGAAAAGGATGCTGCACCTGAGCAAGTTTGGAAAGCTCCACTTATGATAACTCCAATCACATTACCTTTCAATAGGCAATGAGGTGCATAAGATGGATACATTTGGTGTTTTGGCCATATTAACTGGCTTAAAGTCTCATTAGCTTTGGAAGAGTATATTTACAAGTTGGTGTGCTTTATATTGAAACCCTACAGTCAGATATTTGGAGCCAAACCTAGATGTGACAAGCAGCAGCTCCACACGTTTAGGTATGGAAGTGCCCCAATCGTATAGAAAGATGGGAGTGGGTGCTGGCCAGTGTTCCCTCTAAGCTGAGTTAGTGTGAGCCAACTCACAGTTTTTTAGCCTCCAGCTCACACATTTTTGTCTTAGCTCAGGAAGGATGGCTCCGGAATAAACTAATTTATGCAGTAGCCAAATCACTCGTTCATAACGTTAATGCCAGTAATTCACAAAGTAGAACTTTTTCTCACAAGACTCCACAGCTTAGAGGGAGCATTGGTGCTGACATGTGATTACTTCCCTGCAGCTTCTCCTGCCAGGCATTTCTTTCCTCGGCTGGATGAAGAGCACTGGAGGAGGAGGGCTACAGGGAGGGTTCAGAACCCTTTTGCAATTTAAATGGCTTCCACACACACACCCCTTCCTACATGCTTAGGGAAGTTATGCGTCTAAACCTATGGATCTGCTGGCATAACCTCTAGCTTGGTAGGCTTGTCCCTGTATTAAAAAACCAAGCTGCAAGTATCTTCCTCTTAAGTGCAGTTACAAAGCTGAAAAGGAGCCTTAAAAGTCATAATGGTACTGAATAGATTTGCACATGGCTTAGCATCAGGGGTAGCTCTGAGGCTGCTGCTGCTTCTGGCCACCCCAGTTCGCTGCCGCTGCCTCCCTCTGGCCACCGCATGTCACTCTCGGGAAGCCA